GACGGCTATGCTCTGGAATCCTCATCCCCCCTGCAATGTATTCAGGCTGGTTGCCCTTTTGCCACTTTCCTGGTGCAGGTTTACACATATGGGCCAGTTTCAGAGCTCCAGCAGGATCTTGGTAGAACTGATAGCTTCCTTTTCATCGACGATTGGGTGATTCGGAATCAAGATTCGGACCCGAAGATCCTTGTCACTAGAACTGCTGAGAGCCTTGCAGTGTGCTGTTGCCTATGGTAAGTATGCTGTGGTTGCTTCTTCGGACAGTATCAGGCCTGATCTGGCTAGGTCCATGGGACAGCACATGAAGTCCAAAGACATCTCTGCTGCAAATCTAGGTGTGGACACCACGGGAGGCCAGCTCAGGTGTCGAAGAGGTGCTACTCGTTTCTTGAAGGAGAATCAAGAAGTTGAGCCGTCGCGAGCGAAGACTAGCAGCCATAAGGAAGGGAGGCGCCAACATGCAGCGGGTGTACCTCACAGGTTTCCAGTCCTTCGGGTATTACGGGGCCGGGGTGGTGGGGTTGGACACACGGGAAGTTGCAGCAGCGCAGTCATTCTTCTGCAGACAGTCGGAAGCACGTGCCCATCCAGGTCCCGCACGTTGTCGCTTCTTATCCTTCAGGATCCCACCTGCAGGCTTGCCTTGGGCCCTGTCATTACCTGGACGGACCTTGTTCGGAAAGCTGCGACCTGCCCGGGATTCGAACCCTCGCTGCCACGGCTGAGGGAGCTCGTCTCGAACATCCTGGCGAGGCCGCCGAGGACTTGGAACCAGGTCGAAGGACCGTTCGGGGCTGCTGTAGTCTCTTTGATTAGAGTCTCCTGGAAGTTCGTCTCCCTTTTTGTCTTGGAGGACCACAGGGGTCAGGAAGTAGTCCTCACCAGCACGTCTCCCGCCAAAGTTCTTTGTGATCTTAGAGCTGCGTGGATGCGCATGTTGGCTGCGAAGGATGCTCGCAAGTTTGGACACCCTGGAGAGCTCTTGGACATGTCTGTTTGCTGCCAGCTGTTATCCCCCGGCAGTACCCTGTCGCATGCTGAGAAAGTCATGTTGAAGGCTTTTGTCACACAGTGCTTGTGGTCCAAGTGGCGTTTAGCTAGATCGGACTATGCCGTGGAAGACGTATCGTGTCCTCTGTGTCGGTTTCCTCGGGATGACCTTCACCGCCGTCTGTTTGCTTGCTTTGCTACTCTCAGTGTAAGGGATGAGTTCCCGAGAAGATAAGAAGAGCCCTCTTATGCTTGGTTTTCAGCTGGTTCCTGAGAATATCTTGAGACCGCCCGACGGCTCCGGACACGAAAGCTACACCTTCTCCTGTGTGGACCCCAACCTGACCCCCTTGGAGGCGTTCCGAAACAAGATGTGTATTCACGACGGCTCCTGCTTTAAGGAAGGTCACGAAGTCCATCATTGCGCAGGTTGGGCATGCGTATGCCTCCAGGAGGATGGGGGACCCTACGCAATCATCTCGGGCAAAGTCGGAGCCAAGTAGCCACAGACGAGTCCTGCTTCGGAGCATGTTGGTTTTCTGTTTAGTTGCAAGTATGCGAGCTCGTCGTCAGAATTCTGCACGGACTACAAAGGACTGGTGGCCGTGAACGAAAAGCCTCATGAGGTTGTGTCTGACAGAAGGACATACTATGTTGGACCTGTTCTCCTTGCTCTGAGCCACCTGCCCAGGAAAGACGCTCTTGCTATCACAAAAGTGAAAGGTCATCAGAGTGCCGATTGTTTTGAGCCTTTTTTTCCGAGGACTGGTATAAGGCTAAGGGCAATCTCTGGGCCAACGTGGCTGCGATGGCGGCTGCGATGACCCATTCCCGTCCGTCGGAGAACGAGCTTTCTGAGTTTAGCTTTGAAGCGCCCAGCCTCAAGAGTTTCCTGATTTACGTGGCCAGAGCTCTCTTGCTGCGGTCAAGTTTTGCGCCAGCCAGGCCCAGCAGCCGTCTGGGAAGGGTAGGCACCTCCCGCGCTGGAGCAGCTAGTGCCGCCACTGCTGGAGGCAGTGCCGGCCGCGCCGCCGCCGTCAGCGCCGCCGAAGAGGTGCTGGGCGCGGCTGGCCTGGGAGATCCAAACCCCTCCCCTCCCCCTCGGGGTGCTCCCCCTTCCCATGGCCCCCCTTCTGCTGGGGGCCCTGCGGGCCCGCCCCTTGTGACCTCCGTTTGCGGGGCGCAGGCGCCCCAGCGAAGAGATAGAGGCCATGAATTCAGGTGGATCCGAGGCCTGTGGGCCTGCGCGCGCTGTCTCGTTTGCGTGCGTTTGGACCCTCCGCAGCCTGCTGCGGACTGTTTAGGCTTCAACCCTGTGCTGTGTGCCCTTGTGCAGGAACATCAGGGGCACAACGTCCACCTGACGGGTGCCCCCGACGGGTTTACCCTTATCTGCTGCATGGACTGTGGCAGTGTCTCCGAGGGAGTGAGGCTTGGTGGGCTTGGGAAGGCCTGCAAGGGCGGGCCTTCCTCCAGCCACACGCGTGGCAACCTCTCTCGAATTAGAAGAGGCATCCATCCCAATAATAGGGATGTGCTGCTTGATGAGCTGGTGCCTCTTGCGGACTTCACCTGCGCTGTGGGCTGCGGTGGATCAGTTTCAACTGGTGAGGTGGGGAGTTAGTTGCTGATGCCCTTCCCTCTGGGGGCAGGGCCGCTAGCGATTTTCTTTCAATCTTGCTGGTCTTAGCCTTTGCGATGCGACGTGTCAAATCAAAACCTCGGATCCGTTATCTATGACGGGGTCCGCAGACCCCTCCTCTCCCGTGTAGCACCAGAGTGCGCGGAGCGTTTCCTTAGCCAGTTCGGCTCCAGAGGCTCGAGCGCTTCCTGTGGCCTGGATCTGCCAGCCGGCCCGCGCCGCCGCTCGCCTGCCAGCAAGCATGACCTGCCGCCGCCGCGACCGCCGCGGCGCGGCCGCGGCAGCGGTCGGCGCAGCACTGGCGGCCGCGTGTCGCGGGCACCTGGCCCCGGCGGCCTTCTCTGGGCCGGCTGCGGCGTCCGCCCCGGTGCGCGGGGCGCCGTTGCGGGCTACGGCCGCCAGGCCCGGCAGCAAAGTTTCGGCCCCTGCAGTTGGACGCCCCGGCAGTGTAGAGCGCCAGAGCGGCGTCAACTGCATGCGCTGGGCCCGCGCTGGGCAGGACCGCGCTGGGCAGGCCCGCGATGGCAGCTACGACCCCCCAGATCGACAGAGCGGGGTCAAGTGCGTTCACTGGGCCAGCAAGAGACAGGCGTGGTGTGTGAGATACGTGATTAAACACGGCCCAGACAAAGGCACCAGGAAGCAACCCACCTTCCGCCCGCAGGAGGATTCGCCGGAGGAGGTGGAGAAGGCGCGACTCGCTGCCGTCGAGGCATTGCGGCGGCTCCAGGAGGATGACCTCCTCGGGCAGGCCCGCGCTGGCAGCTGCGACCCCGCGGAGCGCCAGAGCGGCGTGAGCGGGGTCAAGTACGTTCACTGGGTCAGCAAGAGACAGGCGTGGTGTGTGAGATACGTGATTAAACACGGCCCAGACAAAGGCACCGTGGAGCAGCCCACCTTCCGCCCGCAGGAGGATTCGCCAGAGGAGGTGGAGAAGGCGCGACTCGCTGCCGTCGAGGCATTGCGGCGGCTCCAGGAGGATGACCTCCTCGGGCAGGCCCGCGCTGGCAGCTACTACCCCGCGGAGCGCCAGAGCGGAGTGGGCGGGGTCAAGTACGTTCACTGGGTCAGCAAGAGACAGGCGTGGTGTGTGAGATACGTGATTAAACACGGCCCAGACAAAGGCACCGTGAAGCAGCCCACCTTCCGCCCGCAGGAGGATTCGCCGGAGGAGGTGGAGAAGGCGCGACTCGCTGCCGTCGAGGCATTGCGGCGGCTCCAGGAGGATGACCTCCTCGGGCAGGCCCGCGCTGGCAGCCGCGACCCCGCGGAGCGCCAGAGCGGAGTGGGCGGGGTCAAGTACGTTCACTGGGTCAGCAAGAGACAGGCGTGGTGTGTGAGATACGTGATCAAACACGGCCCAGACAAAGGCACCGTGAAGCAGCCCACCTTCCGCCCGCAGGAGGATTCGCCGGAGGAGGTGGAGAAGGCGCGACTCGCTGCCGTCGAGGCATTGCGGCGGCTCCAGGAGAATGACCTCCTCGGGCAGGCCCGCGCTGGCAGCTACGACCCCGCGGAGCGCCAGAGCGGCGTCAAGCACATCTCCTGGTGCAGAACTCGCCAGGCCTGGCGTGTTCGGTACAGGGTGAAGAACGGCCCAGACAAACGTCGCGAAATGGTGTGCTATCTCCGCCCGAAGGACGGGTCGGCCGAGCAGGTCGAGCAGGCGCGGATCGCCGCCGTCCAGGCGCTGCGGCGGCTCGAAGGGGACGATCTGCTCGGGCAGGCACGCGTTGGCAGCTACGACCCCGCGAAGCGCCAGAGCGGGGAGCGCCAGAGCGGCGTCAAGTACGTGAACTGGGACAGCAAAACGCAGGTGTGGCGTGTGAGATACCGGATGAAGAACGGCCCAGGCAAAGGCAGCAGGAAGCAGCGCACCTTCTGCCCGAAGGACGAGTCGCCGGAGGAGGTGGAGCGGGCGCGGCTCGCCGCCGCCGAGGCGCTGCAGCGGCTCCAGGAGGAGGACCGCGCCCTCGAGACGAGCTGCTCGGGCGGGCCCTGTGCCAGCCGCGGCCGCAGGGAGGTGCCGCTTCTCGACGGGCTGTTTCTGGTCGTCGGAGGCGATGCGCCCTAGGGTGCAGGACGGCGCGCTCTGTGCCGAGCAGCTCGGGCGAACCCTCCGCTGGCCGACGGGGCGCGGAACGCCAGAGCGGCGTCCAGCACATACACTGGGTCAAAGACCGCCAGGCGTAACGTGTTGAGTACTGGATACGGAACGGCCCAGACAAAGGCACCAGGAAGCAGCCCGAGGAGGTGGAGCGGGCGCGGCTCGCCGCCGTCGAGGCACTGCAGGGGTTCCAGGAGGAGGACCTCGTGCTCTGGCGGATCAGGTCAGGCTGGCACAGCGCAGACCGCCAGAGCGGCGTCAAGCACACACACACATTGGGACAACACAAGACAGGCTTGGCGTGTCAAGTACCAGATACAAAACGGCGCAGACAAAGGCACCAGGAAGCAGCCCACTTTCCGCCCGAAGGACGAGTCGCCAGAGGAGGTGGAGCAGGCGCGGCTCGCCGCCGTCGAGGCGCTGTGGCGGCTGGAGGAGGAGGAGGACCAGCTCGGGCAGGCCCGCGTTGGCAGTTACAGCCCCGCGGAGCGCCAGATAGTCAAGGAGAAATGCAGGAATGTGTGTCGCATTCTGTATAGGATACAGAACGGCCCGGATCAAGGTCGCAGAAAGCAGCCCGCGTTCTGCCCGAAGGACGAGTCGCCGGAGGAGGTGGAGCAGGCGCGGCTCGCCGCTGTCGAGGCGCTGCGGCGGCTCCAGGAGGATGACCTGCTCGGGCAGGCCCGCGCTGGCAGCTACGACCCCGCGGAGCGCCAGAGCGGCGTGAGCGGGGTCAAGTACGTTCACTGGGTCAGCAAGAGACAGGCGTGGTGTGTGAGATACGTGATTAAACACAGCCCAGACAAAGGCACCAGGAAGCAGCCCACCTTCCGCCCGAAGGACGGTTCGCAGGAGGAGGTGGAGCGGGCGCGGCTCGCCGCCGTCGAGGCGCTGCGGGAACAACACAGGCGTGGCGTGTTCAGTACCGGATACGCATCGGCCCATACAAAGGCACCAGCAAGCAGCTCACCTTCCGTCCGGAGGACGGGTCGCCCGAGGAGGTGGAGCGGGCGCGGCTCGCCGCCGTCGAGGCGCAGGTCCTCGCTCCCCTCTGTCTCGGGGGCTGCGAAAGGTGCCCCTGGCCCAAGGCCCCCCCAGCTTCTCGCTCCATCCTGCAGCCCCTGGGGCCTCTGGGCCTCGTGAGGAGTGCTCTGGGGGCCGTGAGGGGCCTCCTCGGAAATCCTGGGGGCACCTTAGGCCAGGAGCACTCCGGGCAACTCCCGACTGTCGCCTTCGCCCTCCCACGAGCTGCTCGGTCGCTGCCGCCGCCGGCCCGCGGGGGCCTGGCGTCTCGGCGGCGGCGGCGGCCGCGCAGAGCGGCGGCGTGGCTATGGACGAGGCGCACCCTGTGAGGTCGCAACAGGACTTCGTCGACATGGTCGAGGCCTCCCAGATGGGGTCGGAGTAGATGGGGTCGGAGGATCGCGCCGCATCACCGATGCATCGCCGATGCGGGTTGACGTGGAGCCTGATTTTCTTCGCGCCGATGTCGCCGACGCATCGCCGATGTATCGGCGATATGCGGCGCGATCCTCCGACTCCATCTACTTCGACGCCATGTAGGAGGCCTCTGCATGGGGCTGCGGGAAACCTCGGAAGGGAGACAGGGTATCACTGACACGCTACCATTGGTAGCCTGGCAGCGCGTTCCTCCTCCGTTTCTGTCAGAGGGCCCGGTGCGTTTTTTTTCAGCGGTATCACGCTGATGGGCCCCCCACTGCTCTAGGGCGAAGCACATGTCCGTATCCGCGGCATCTGGGCCTCAACCCCGCCGAGACGGGGATTTGATTCGCGGATGTCACGCGCGGAACGTCCCCGTGCGACTGCGCATCCGCGGGACCGCGCCCCGGAATCCAGACTGCGTTGGCGCAGATACTGATGTGTTCGACGCTCGTGAATGGTGGCGCGTCGTTGCTACCCCTTCCGCTTCCCGAAATCCGCCTTGCAGCTGCTGGCGCAGGCGCTCGAGGTGCACCCTGGCAGCCGCCAGCTGGAACAGCCGGCGGGCCGTGGGGGCAACATGGGCGGAGGTGCTTCGGCACGCCGCGCTGCGAGCTCTCGGTTCCGAGCGCCCCATTTCGGCATCGCGTATCCGATCCCCGTTCCCAACACTTCCCCAGCTTTTGTATTTTTGTGCCTCCCGGGAGGCCCTCGTTGCCACCGCTGGATTCACCTCGAAATCTTTCTCAGAACGCACCCTTGGCAAGCTCTGGGGGTAGCGTTATCAGTGCCTGCTGGTTCCCCAGTAGCTCAGCCCCGCCAGACCCACCCACAAGATGGGGACAGGCCCCGTGAAGCCCAGAAAAAACCGCATACATGATCCAGGGCTCTGCCCCCCTCCCTCTCATGCTGCTGCCTTCGCCCCCCCCCCCGCCGCGCCCGCCGCCCAGGCCCGCGCGACGAGTGGCGACGAGGCGGCGACGGGGCGGCGACGGCGACAACATAGCCGCCAGACCGCCACCCGAATGCAGGCGGCGGGCGGCGACGAGGTGGCGACGGGGCGGCGTCTGCGACAACGCAGCCGCCAGACCGCCGCCCAGGCTCAGCTCCTCCCAGGACCAGAAATAAGAACCCCTACATGCAAGCACTGTTCCGGGTGAGAAACGTTTTCCTTCGCGATTCTTGGGAGGGGTTGCCGGCATTCCGCTCGCAGGGCGCCCGCAATGGAAGACTCGCGGCGCTGGCGCCGCATGAGACGGCGGCGCGAAACGGAATTGATCGCAGAGGTGTTCGCTGATAGTTGCGAGAAGCTGTTTTCGGCCAGACGCCCGAACGACGTTGATGACGGGGGGAAAGGTTGCCTCTGTTTCGTTCGTTTTGGCTTCAGCTTTCTATGTTGACAGCGTGGCAACTGCAGTGGCGAAGTTGCCCTGGCTAAGAACCGGAGGCCCGCGGCCCCCGAAATGCTGCGACAGTTCATTCGCCCGGGCCGTGCGATCTCCCGCGGCCAGTCTTCATTGCAGCGAGGTCGCTTGAGCGGCGCGCGGGAAAGGGTGACCCTATCCTGACCGCGCGCCCGCTGGTGCGCTGATCCTCAAGTTTTGCGCAGAAAAAGGCAAGGACTTGAGGATTGGCTCTTGCGGTGCTCCCGGACATTCTGCGCCGCTGCTTGCGTTGCCTTCGTTTGGTTCGGAGGAAGAGCTCATTGCGTCGGCGTGGAAGCTGCGCCGGCCCTGGGCAGCCAGCGCGGCGGCGGGCGCAGCGTCGAGGGCCTGCGCTTAATTGAGGGCGCGAAGCACAGCGACTCGACAAGCGCGACAGTGTTGACTCAGAGGAGCATAAAGTATTGATATTGATAGTTTTCCAGGTTTTCAAGTTTTCCTCTTCTCCCGCGCGGGCTCCAGGGACGAATGGTCGAGCGCGTTTCGTCGCGCAGGTTTTTTGCGTGATGTTCTTTTCCATTTTTCGCGCATCGGAGCGCCCTCGAAGATTCCAAGCTGCATGCTGTGTTGCTCTTGGGGGGTCCGCGAGTCGCAGCTGCCGTGGCGCTGTTTTCGAGGTAGCCCTTTCGAATGTTGTTCGTGGGCGCAACGCGCGGCGCGCGCTGCGCCCAATCGCGCTCGGCGCGGCGCGTGAATCAGCCGGCCGCGCCCGTCGGACCGCCTGGACATGATTTCTGGATTGTAGAATGTGTCAGAAAACGCTTCTGTTTTTTGCGCAAGCGGTTCCGGATTTTTTCAAAAAGGAGCCCGGAACTTTTCAAAAAAGAGTTGTAACGGGTGGAGTGCGCCCGCCGCGCAGGACATTCGAACAATTCAGAAATCCAGAATTTTTCAAAATGGATTCCGGAATTTTTCAAAATCGATCCCGGAAATGATTTAAAAACGGTTATGGTGTTTTTCAAACAGTAGGCCGGAAACGTTCAAAAACGCTTCCGGATTTGATCAATTTTTACCCCCAGAGAATTTTCCAGAATCGCGCGTGATTTGCTTTGCCGGGTCTTTGAAATCCGCCGAGGCGCGCGGTGCGCGGCGGCGGGCGATGGGACGGCGCGCCATCGTCTTTCCCGCGCTCGGCAACGAGAAAGCGGGTCAGCAAGTGCCAACTAGCCCCCTTACGGGCGACCGAACGATTGCGAATGGGTGACCGACCAGCGGCGCCAGCCAGAGTAGACAACACTCGGCGCAAAGTGTACCCCGCGCGAAGGCTGTTAGAAATCCCTGAATCTCCGGAGCGCATCAATAGCACGCTGTGTCAATATATTCTTCTCGTCCTATTGACCGCCGCGATGACGGCGCACTTCCCCGACGAGAAGAACTGCCGACGAGGGCTGAGCAGGCGCCGCCCGGGGCAGCGCGTCGCAGCGGTCGTCGACGGGGCCAGGGGCCGGCTCGCGAAGCTTCGCTCTGCAGATGCCGTTATTTTGATGGAGCGAGCGGCACGGCGGGCGCGCAATCCATTGGGGCGCCGGGCGCGAGGGGCGAACTGCGTCACGCGGCGCAGCGGCGCGCGTGGGAAAGATGAGAAGTCTTCGCCAACGCGCCCGCGCACGTAGAGAGCGGCTTGGGGCTCGGCGGGGGCATTCCAGGGGATGAGCGCCTAAAGTCTTTGGGCCATTGTCGCATGTTGGCCAGCATCTCGCAGCGAAGCTGCGCCGCTGTTTGACTTCGACGCGGCGGTGTTTTGTCTGGCGTAAGGGCGTAATTCGCTTTTGCCCATTTCCGCTGAGGTCGCGCTTCCCGCTGTTCAGGGCTGTCGTCGCGCTCGCAGCCCCGCGCTGAAACGAACGCTGGACCCTCGGAGTCGTCGGCAGGAACAGGTCGAGAGCAGCTTGGCGCAAGATGGTCCAGCAGATCTTCCGAGTGGCCGGCGGCGAGGAGGACCTCTTGGGTGAGAACGTCAAAAGAGCAACGATTCGGACAGTCCATGCGGGCGGAATGAGGCTTCAAGAGTTGGGCTCCTTAGCAGGCTCTAGCGCCGGAGGTGTCTTCTGGGGTAGAGGAGGCGGGGCCGCCGACTCTTGAAGAGGAGGCCGTGGTTTTGCCGCGCTGCCGCTGGCCCCCCAGGAAGCTTCATTCAAGCTGGGGCGGCCCTTTTGCGTTTGCAACTTCTGTGCATTCCTGGTTCGAACCCATGGGCCATCATATTTTTGTCGCCCTATGCCGCCAGTGGGACTCCGGCGCCGAGGCTTCCACGCAGGCATGTTTCTCCATTGATTGTCGCCGCCAGCCCTTTTGATGGGCTGCTCCTTCGGGGCCAGCGCGCAAGCCGTGCTGGGCGGTGCGTCGAGGCGCTGGGCTGGCGGCGGCCGGTCCACGTCCGCGCCCTGTGCTGCGCGCGCGGTTCGGGGAAACGCGTTCGTTCGCAGGCCGACGCGCTGGGCCGGTTGCGGCTCTGCCGCGGCGGCGGCGCAGTGCGGCGCTGCGCCCTCAAGATCGGGCGCCGCCGCGGGGCTTCCGCGCAGGTTTTTCCCTGCCCATGCCGCCTCGTGGCCCGTTGTTTCGTGGCAGACGACCCGCGCGCTGGCATTTCCCAGGGGCGCCCGCGGCGGGTTTGGCGGCTGCGTCGCCGCGGGCCTCGCCCACAGGTTGCCGCGCTCGTTCGCAGATTTCGGGCGCCGCCCCGCCGGTGCTCCTAGTTTGCTGAGCTGGAATTCATTTGTTTTCAGCCGAAGCCAAAAATGTGGAGGCGTCTCGTCCTGCGACGGGAAGGGCGCCGCGCTGCCTTTCGCGCGCACTGGCGGCGCGGGTGGCGTCGAGGGCGCGCGCGATGGGCGTTGCTTTTTCGGATTATCCCCGGCTGTTGGTTTTGGCGGGTTTGCTCGCCTCCCCCGCGCGAACGCCGCGGCGCTCCTTCGTGCGACGCGGTGGCTCTGGGCGGGGTGGCCTTGCTGCTGCTGCGCGCGGCACTTCTGGTCGCAGTCGTCGCGCTCGCCGTGGCGCGCTGCTTTCTGCGCTGCCGCGCCAGTGGTGGTGCTGGCGGCGCTGGTAACCGTCGTGGTGCTCGCCGTGGTGCCGCTTGTGGCTGCTGTCTTGTTGGTAGCTGTGGTGCTGATCGATTCGCCCGCTGTACTTGCGGCCGTTGCGGTGCTTCGCGCAGCGCTCGCATTGTTGCTCTTTGCGGTGCTTGTCGGCCTCGCGGCGCTCGCGGCCTTGCTGCGTGCGGCCGCAGCCGCGGTGGTTGTTGTAGCGCGTCTCGTCTTGACTGCGCTGCTGCGCGCCGTCGCGGTGTTCGCCGAGGCGGTGGCTCCGCGCGTGGCGTTGCTGAACGACGTCGCGGTGCTCGCCGTGGGGGTGCTGCTGTTGTTGCTTGCCGCTGTCGTCGTGGGCGCTGCGGTGCTTCTAGTCGCGCTCGTTTCGTCGCGCGTCGTCGGGCGGTCTCGCGGCGCTCGCCGCGCTGCGGGTCAGCGGGCGGGCCTTCGCGCGGCCAGCGCAGCGGCCGCGGGTGATGCCGGCAGCGTTGCCCGTGGCAGCGCGTGGCGGTTGCCCTGGGCACGGCGGGCTGAGGCGGCCAGCAAGTCGCCCCGCGGCCCAGATGTGGCCGCGACCTTCGCGCCTGCTGGGGCGCGGGAGTTTGTCGTTTGGCGTCTGCCTTTGCGCGGGGGGCGCGGGCGTCTGCCTTGCGCCCGCCCGCCGCGTCGGGCCTGCCGCCGCCCCATCGGGCGGGCCCCTCCTTGCGCGCGGGGCCGCGGCCCAGCTGGCGGCTCTTCAGCAAAGCGCTTCGCCGCTTCGCGCGGCCCCCGCGCCGGGGGCATGCTGGGGCGCGGTCGCCGCAGACGTCCGAGGCGCCGTCGCCGGCGGAGCAAGAGGCGCCCCGGCCCGCCGCGCGCGCCCGCGGTCGCCGCTGCAGGGCGACCCGCGCCAAGCCGCGCGAGAAGTCAGCGCCGACGGCAGCGCGGGGCCGTGCCCGCAGCGGGCCGGCAGCGCCTGGCGCGTCTGCGGGGCGGCGACGCGCGCCCTGGTGGTCGGTCAGGCCCGCCCCCTGAGCTCGGCTTCGGCAGCAGCGTCCAGCAGAGCGCGGAGAAGGCCGCCAGTGGCCAGGACTTCTGCCGTTGCGCCCCGATGGGCTGAGCGCAGCCCCTGGCTGCCAGCCACGTGGGCGAGGTGGGCCCAGCCCCAGGAGGCGTCCCCAGGCTGCTGTTGGCTGCTGAGAGTCTCGAGGGTGGTCAGTTCGCGCCATGGGCGGCGTGGCCCGCGCTGAGTGATTGGGCCTGCAGTGCCCGACCCGCTGCCGCAGCAAGCGGAGCGCGAATTGCGAGTTTTCCAGCGTGCCACGGCCTTGAGAAGGTCGCTCGCCAGGTCAACTCGTTGCCCGGCGCGTTCGCTGCTTAAGGCGTCGCTGCCGACAGGTGAGCCCGAGAGCCCAGAGCGGCCGTCCGCGCGCGGACGGAAACGGGGGGGGGAACGTTCAGAACCACTGCGCCGTCGCTGCCGCGGCGGGGACCACCTCGCACTTCCCTGGCCACGCGCGCAGGCGGAGGCCCACTGCTGCTATAGCCCACCCGCTGGCATGTGAAGGGGGCGCGCCGCTGCTTGCAAGTTGCCGGCCAAGGTGCCGTTGCCGACGCGCTTTCGGCGGCAGGGGCGGCTCGGCGGAGGGTCTGCTCCGCGGCGCGCTGCAGTGTTGGAGGAAGGAGCAGAGGTCCAACAGGGCCCCCCCTATTGCACGCCCCACTCCGTGCGGATGGAGCGCCAGCGCAGCCAGAGCATAGAGAGGGCCCAGTAGCACCCGGAGGCTCACGGCTCCAGAGGGCAGTCCACCGCGCCTACCCCGTAGGCGACCCTTGTGGCCGTCGCAGGCGGAGCCCGCCGCGACCGTCTTGGATGCGTGCCAGTATTTCTGGCGGCGCTGTCGCCGGAGAGCGACCCCGCCCATGTCGGCCCCCCTTCCCGCGCTGTGTAAGAAGAAAACCCCGCCCGTAGTCGCGAGGAGCCGAGCACGCGGCGCCGGACGCTGCCTTTCACGCGCATGCCCTGCTTGGTCACGGCAGCTTGGCTTGTTCACGGCAGCCTGGCTTGTCTATTCCGGATGTCGGCCCAGACAGAGCTGGCCTCGCAGCCCCGTGCAGCGAGGCGTCGGCGCAGGCAGCTCGACCAGGTCTCCCCCCCCGCCCCTCTCGCCCTCCGCCTCCTCCCGTGTCGCCTTCGGTTTCTGAGCAGCAGTGGCTGGCGTTTGGTCGCTTTGCGGGTCATTTGTCCGGATATGCAGTGTATGGTTTGCCTCGTGTCGCCGCGAGACGGTACCAAACGCATTCTTGTTAGGAATTTATCATCGCCGAAAACGCATCGCTTTGGACACGAACGAATTCTCGTGTTCATGAGGTAAAAAATGGCGATTCTCAGAATCGGAGTTTCCCGAGTTCTGACATGTTGATGGCGCAAAGCAGGGCGCAATCTAGGGTAATCCATTGCTTGGGCGTGGAATGTATGAGTTCCTTGAGAAAGTGGTCGGCCTGTTTGTCGGGAGCGAAGCGAGCTTCTTCCTGATGCCGTCTGAGTATCAGGCAGTAAATAAGTGGAGAGGCCCCCCACACCAGAGGTCGTTTTTTTCACACCCTGGCTCGGACTGGCCGAGGCGAAACGCGTATGTCTCCATGCTGGGCCACAGGGCCGATGTGGTGGACGACGTCGCCCGCATGATGGGCTTAGTGTTGTTTTGTATCGATGGCTGCTGCACACGCAACACTGTCTCCGAACGGGATTATTCTGATCAGTTTCAGGGACTCGGCCGTGTGTTCTGGGCGGTTTATCGCAATCGCACGTGCGTCAAGCTTAGTTTTGAATTGCGCCGTGTAGTCTCGAATGCGGCATTAGCACCCATCCATACACGGGGTGACGTGTGCAACGTGTTCGGTGCTTGCCATTCGGCTGCTGGGACGGAGGATTTGTATCTATGTGTTTGTAACTTATGATTCGTCATATTGATATTCGTCCTCCTGGTGTCCCTCGTCATTCCCCCTCTTCTTCATCCTTGTCCATCTTTCGCCTCTGCCTCCCATTGCTGAGCCGTTGGTGTTTACAACGGACGCGTGCGGGCCTTCGCTGGCAATGCCTAGCCATGCCAGCTGCTCCAGAAGGTGGCGCATAGGAGCAACGTCAAATCAGTAGGAACAGGACGGCGACGACGATGACGGCGGCGGCAGCGGCGGAGTTGCTTGCCCATTGTGTTGCCGATGATGATTATGATGATGGTGATGATGGTGATGACGATGGTGATGATGACGATGATTATGATGACGATGATGACGATGCTGATAATAATAATGGCAATAATAAGTGGGTTATGATGATGATGCTGATGATGTTGCTGATGATGATGATGCTGTTGCTGATTGGGATGATGATGATGCCGATGAGGATGATGATGATGCTGCTAATGATGATGCTGATGCTGATGATGACGATGATGATGATTACTGTATGATAATGATGCTGATACTGAAGATGTTGCTGATGACGATGCTGATGCTGATGCTGATGTTGCTGATGATGATGCTGATGCTGATGCCGATGCCGATGGTAATGATGATGATGATGATGGTTATGATGATAATCATGATCATGATGAGTGTGACGATGCTGATGCTGATGATGATGCTGATGTTGATGATGTTGATGCGTATGATGTTGATGATGATGAGGATGATGATGCTGATGATGATGATGATGATGATGATGATTATGATGATGATGATGATGATGATGATGATGATGATGATGATGATGATGATGATGCTGATGCTGATGATGCTGATGCTGATGCTGATGCTGATGCTGCTGATGATGATGATGATGATGATGATGATGATGATGATGACGACGGCAAATGAGTAAATGACAAAGGTAGCGAAGACCGGCATGGACGGCGTGGGAGAGCTGAAGGGGCGCGCGCGCACACACGCAGACGTTACCAATACGCACGTGTCCCCCCTGGTCGCAGCGTTGGGTCGGTGACACCCCAACATGCTAATACTATATGTGCGTCGCCCCCCAGGGGCGACGCGGCACCGAGAAATCACATAGTAGATATGTCGTGGCTGGCGCTGTCTGGCGACACCGCTCGTGAAACGATGTTTTACAACACATCTGATGCTGGCATTATTTGTTTGCGCAGCCGGCCACAAATGCGCGTTGCGCGCCTGCAATATCATTTCACACGCGTGCTCTGCAATCGTCGCGCGACGCATCGCCAGGTGCAAGCCAGGTACCCTGTACCAAGGCCCCATGGTCCCATATCCCATGCCCCCACCCCCAATCGAATACTCCAGGATCCAGGGGCCCTGGGCCCAAGACCAGCCCACCGGCCACCAGACCACCAGGCACAAGGCCTCCAGCCCCCACTGATGTCTACCGTTTCCTCAAGCCTCAGGCCTCCTCCCCACCTCCCCGTGCTCTCTGCCCGAAGGAAGCCCCCAAGAAGTGCACACAGTATGTACTCCTGTGTCCCTGTGCGCCCCATTAGGGAGGTCTTCGAGAGGCGAGGAAGAGGATGAGGAGGAGGAGGAGGAGGAGGAGGAGGAGGAGGAGGAGGAGGAGGAGGAGGAGGAGGAGGAGGTGGAGGAGGAGGAGGGAGGAGGAGGAGGGAGGGGGGGGGGGAGGAGGAGGAGGAGGAGAGGAGGAGGAGGAGGAGGAGGAGGGAGGAGGAGGAGGAGAGAGGAGGAGGAGGAGGAGGAGGAGGAGGAGGAGGAGGAGGGAGGAGGAGGAGGAGGAGGAGGAGGAGGAGGAGGAGAGGAGGAGGAGGAGGAGGAGGAGAGGAGAGGAGGGGAGGGGGAGGGGACAAGCTAGGTGCGCTCGCGTCATATCTGACATCCTACCCCTCCCTCCCATCCCTTACCATGGCGTAGATCCCCTCACTACTCGCACAGCACAGTCGGATGTCGAGCAGGGCAATGATCCCGAAAGGGTACGCGATGCATTGTAGAGCACGGCATGGCATGGCGTAGAAGAGCACCGCAAAGCGTAGTATCAACCTAGCATTGCATTGCATGCCGTCGCATGGCACGGGAAATGACGCCAGTGCTGCAGCGGGAGCACGAATCGAAACGAGCGGAAGCACGGAAATGAGGCCAGCGTTGCAGCGGGAGCACGATTCGGAACGAGCGAAAGCACGGAAATGAGGCCAGCGCTGCAGCGGGAGCACGATTCGGAACGAGCGGGGCCCGAAAATGAGGCCGGCGCCTCAGCGAGAGCAGCATTTTGAAAACAAATGCAGGCGAAAACCCAACTCCGGGGAAACCTGTGTGTGTAAAAAACAGTACGCGGGGGGGGTCGAGCACTTTCAAACCATCATCAGGGGAAGAGGGAAGGTAGTATTCATATGAAGTAATTGTAGTGGAGGAGGAGGAGGCGGAGGAGGAAGAGGAGGAGGAGAGGAGGAGGAGGAGGAGGAGGAGGGAGGAGGAGGAGGAGGAGGAGGAGGAAGGAGGAGGAGGAGGAGAGGAGGAGGAGGAGGAGAGGAGGGGGAGAGAGGAGGAGAGAGGAGGAGAGAGGAGGAGAGAGGAGGAGAGAGGGAGGAGGAGGAGGAGGAGGAGGCGGAGGAGGAGGAGGAGGAGAAGGATGAGGAGGAGGAGGAGGAGGTGGAGGAGGAGGAGGAGGAGGAGGAGGAGCAGGAGGAGGGCGGGCAGGAGCAGCCGCGGGGGCCGAGAGCGCACGGGGATCGGGCGGGAGGCGCCCAGACCCCCCGCGGGCGGCGGGGGGGGGGAAGCCCCTGCGGGCGAGGGGTCGGGGCGCCCGTGGGCGGATGCCGAGGCTGCCACGGATGCCTCCCGCCTGCCATCCCCTCGGGGCTCCAGAGGCGGGGGTCGGCGCAAACCGGGGCGTCAGCCAGAGCGCCAAGGATGCCAAGGATGCCTCCCGCCAGCCACCCCCTTCGGGCTCAAGAGGCTCGGAGGTTGATAGACCTCCTACCCTGACACGTCGATCAGCGAATCGGCCGTTTTCTGTTCGCGAGAGGTCTTCGCGGCCGTCATTTTTGCGGGTCCTGGTCCGCCGGTTTCGGTCCTGGGCCGTTCTCACTAGAGGGTGGTTTAGTAAAGAGAGGTTTGTCCACCGCCGAGAGACGGGGGTCGGCGCAAACCAAGAGGCAGCCAGAGCGCCTAACTTTTGCAGGATCTTGCGGGGCCAGTGGCGCACTGGCCCGGGCTTGGGTGCCGGATCCTGCAGGGTCCTGCAGGATATCTTGCAGGATCCTGCAAGACCCGGCTGACCCGCGTTTGGGTTGACCCGGGTCAGTAGGTCCCCGAATCCCTCTCATCCTGCTTGTCTCGGGCGGGTGCCAATGGGGATGGCCCACATGGGGCTAAAGAAAAGGGCCCCAATGGGGGCCCTTTGGGGCCCCTTTTGGATTCCAGATGGCTCCAAAAGAGGCTCTACAGGGCCCTCCAGGGCCCTCTTCTTTCCCCCCCCATTTGGGTCACCCCCCATTGCCGCCTGCTCGTCCTCGTCCTCGTCCTCTGAGCGCGTTCCACTACGGTCGAGCATATCGCTCGAAGAGGGAAGAACGCGGTAAACTTGTTGTTTTGGCGCTCCGCGCGGATTTCTTGGATCCGCGCTGGGCCCGCCTGCTCGCAAACCTCAGAAGAAACGACCACATGTTCGCCTCATTGCCATGGATCGTAGATCTCTCCCGGCGGATCTGGGCCATTTGCGAGTTTAGTTACTTCGCTCGCAAGTAGTTGAGCGCGCTTGTCGACCTTCTCCCTTCTCCCGTGCCCCCTCCCAAGCCTGGGATGGGGGTCGACATCTCCCCTTATAATCCGATTCGCCTCGGAGGGGCGCGGGCCCCCTTGCCCTCCCCATCCCTCCTTCTTCCACGCAGCCCTCCAACCTCCCCCCCCTTGCGCCACTGGAGGAGGAGGAGGAGGATGAGGAGGTGGAGGAGGAGGAGGAGAATGAGGAGGAGGAGGAGGACAACCCCCAGCCTGGGTGCTGTCTCGGGAGTCGAAAAGAAGAACAAACGCCATGACCCGAAACTTTTGGCGCTCCGCGCGAATTTCTTGGATCCGCGCCGGGCCCCCCCCCGGCGGCCTGGCCCCCCCGGCGCCGCCCCCGGCGCGCTCCGCGTGCCAGGGATGGGGGCCCAGCACAGATCCAAGAAGTCCGCGCGGAGCGCTGACAGTTTATGTTTGTGGCGTTTTTCCTCCTAGAGAAACGGGAGGTAGAGAGAGGCAGAGAAACGGGAGGAGGAGGAGGAGGAGGAGGAGGAGGAGGAGGAGGAGGAGGAAGAGGTTTGACCTGACAAGGACCAGCCGCACGCGTACTGGCCAGGAGTGTGAAAAACACAAACGGCCAACGATGGAGACGCTATTCGACCCACAGCCTCGCTTCGCGAGTTGGATCGTCGTCGTCCGAGTCGCTGGCATAAGGGAAACCGACAAGGCTTCCCCACAAGGCCAAATCAGCCTGGGCAACAGGAGGAGGAGAGTGCTCCCGTCCCGCCCCCGCCCACCCCGCCCCCACTCCCGAACCACTCCCAGCCTCAGAGGTCTCAGGGAGAGGTGGAAGCGGCGGCAATAGAGCCGTCTCGCAGAAACTCCGGTTGCGGAGCAAAACTGGAGGGCCCAAAAAGAGGCCCGACTTGGGGTGGCCGATAGTACCTGGAGTCTTTGACCAGGGTGCCTGCTCGGCGCCTGAACGGCTTGCGATCTTCGGAGAGCCCTTGGCTTCGTAGCATGGCATAGGCCCTGCAGACCGAGCAGAACAGCACAGGCCCAGTGCGGTGCACCACATGCTGAGCAGGGCTCTCCGAACATTTCAACTGTCGCAAAACAGCCCGAGACTTCGCCGACCTGAGGCAGATCATGCATCGAAATCTATTGCCCACATGTGCAACCGCAGTGTCGAAACGAGAGTGCGGCCTGGGAGGGCCCAGCCCACCTTCGATGGTGCCGATGGCCCTCCCAAGCACGACTGCCTGGGCATCAGGGGCTGTGACCGAACCGATCCTAGCCGCGACTCGAGTGTAAAACTGAGCCACCATCTTCACCGCCTGGATAGATGACCCATGCGCCTCGCGCAAAGAGACACAATCCGAGTGCATGGTTGCTCATACTTTGGCAACCTCGTCGGCCTTGGCATTCCCAAACCGCTGCCAAGGTGAGATTCGCCCTTCAGCTACCGCCGAGTGCGGTGTGTGGGCCTTGACGTGAGAGACCTCCACCGCCTCCAAACCCCGATCCGCCGCCAACCTCCAGACTTCCCTCCAGAGGATCGCCATCGGGTCACTGGCAGCCGTGCCAGCACCGAACCCTTGTCGCCAAACATCAACTAACGGCTTGCAATCGGTGTAGAACTTCATCTGCGCGCCCATATACCTGAGGGCCATGAGGAAGCTAAATAGCTCCGCAGCAGGCACAGACTGGAAGAGGAACGGCAGTGGTCCATGCATCTTGGCGACTTCGTGCCAAGCAAAATCCAGCGAACACAAACCCCAACCACATCGCCTGAGGCGGCTGTGCCGCCCATGCAAGCCCCAGCCATCGCCGAACACATGCACATCGAGGAGCAAGTCGTCAGTCCGCAAGGTCCAGACAACTCGCTCTTCCAGGCACGGGCTTGGCATTAGCCAGGATGGGTCAGGGACAAGAAATCTGGTCCAGAGCAACGAGGCATCAGCGGCCGACTGGGCTAGCTCAAGCATCTTGCCAGCCAACTGGTAGTCTGCCTTATACCCGCGGCGAAAAGAATCGTGGGCGGGGCATCCGTAAAACCTGTGCCACGTCGTACCCCGACTCTTGCAAATCAAACAGTCAGGGTTGACCGCGCCGCCAGCATTGCACAGCCTCTCCTGGGACCAAACACCTCCAGCAAACAAGCACCTCAGGAGCCCCTGGTGCCTGGGGGTCCAGTCTGGGCCTCGAGATGACGGGAGGGGAAGGGACATCAGGGGCTCCAGGAGCGGAGGGTGAGGACAGAGCGAGGCCCAAGACGGGTGCTTAGCCAGACCGTGTTGCCAAATCCAGTGCTCAGTGGCCTCATCAGCCAACTTACCTCCATCCCTGGGCGACATCACTTCTATCGAAACGGGCCCTCGGTGGGTCGGCCAACGAAGCGGGTTGACCAGCTTCCATTCCAAACGGAGCATCGTGCCCACAAGGGCCGATGCGGGTCCCCGAATGTCAGACCACACCCTGGAGACAGGAACAACCGATAAACGAGCCCACGCACCGCTCAGAAGACGTGCCATGTCAGATCTTGGTGCCCGGCCGTCCCAGAGCGCATGCAGTTACAAATAAATCGGCCCACGGTTGCACTCGAACGCGGGGTCGACCTGGCAGCCTGCCAGCATCAGGTCGAGCGAGAGAGACCTACCCGTGTGCCTGAAAACACATCCCGCTCGTGCCGATTGCCTAGCCTCGAGGAGCTGCGCGTTGTTGATCCCGTGGACCCCGACCGCCCAGAGCATCCCAGGCTTGAGGCTCGTCTGGACCAGCTTGGCTGTTTCGCCCCCCGCTTTGGCCAGCCGATTATACCGTTGGACCCTAGAGCCCATCTTCCCAAGACGCTGCGCCCGAACCGCATGAAGGATCCGATGGCCGCCTCCGAAGTCCAGCCCGAGGTTCCGAATAGATCTGGTGAGGAAACGAGCCGAGCGGGGTTCGACTTTACGAACAGCGTGTCGAATGTCCTGACCAACGATCGTCTGGTGCTTTTTTGGCAGGGAGAGTGAGGCCGCACTTGACCAGCTCAACTGTGAGTAGGTCATCCGCCCCTTTCAGGTCGAAAGCCACGTCCCAAGCATCACCCACCCTCTGCAACTGCAAATCGTCGACAACGATCGCCAAATCAACAGACGGGTACTGAGCAACAACCATGTCGGCAGGGGAAAGAAGCACCAGACGCAATAGAGATGTCGCACAATTGCAGCCTGCAGCGATCGTACGATTCGTCGAGGCGATCTCGGTCGCAGTCATTTCGAGCATCACCATCCGATCGAGGGCGTACGTTGCCAGCAAAATCTGCAAGGTCTTGCCGTGAAACCTGTGCTTCTTGGCACACGCCGCGAGCACATGATGGGGAACATGCTCGTACGCCTTGACGAGATCGAGTAGCTTAGACCCCGCTGCGTTGCCCTGATCCCTGGCCAACTCCGCCTTGAAACTCTGCTTCCAGACACAGATATCACAAGAGGCTCCAGAATCGCCGAACCAGTAGTCCCTAGGGTGGTCACGTTCCCATGCCCCAGCGACTTTCCAGCGGGCCCAGCGGGGCCACGTGCGGAGCGGGGAGGAGGAGGAAGAGGAGGAGGAGGAGGAGGAGGAGGAGGAAGAGGAGGAAGAGGAGGAGGAGGAGGAGGAGGAGGAGGCCGTCCTGGGGCGCCCCGCTGCCCCCCGGGGGTGGTGCCCCCCAAGACCTCCGCGAGAGGCGAGGCGCTGGCCGCGGCCGCGTGGCCCCTCGTCGTGGCGGAGCTCGCGGCGCTGCACCGCGGCGGCGCGCGGTGCTCCTCACTGCGGCCGCGGGCCCTGCGCGCGGCGGTCTCCCCAGAGATCGGGGGCAGGAGGAGGAGCAGGACGAGAAGGAGGAGGAGGAGGAGGAGGAGGAGGGAAAAGGAGGAGAAGGAGGAGGAGAGGAGGAGGCGAAGGAGGAGAGAGGAGGAGGAGGAGAGGAGAGCACGAGGAGGAGGAGGAGGAGGAGGAGGAGGAGGAGGAGGAGGAGGAGGAGGAGGAGGAGGAGGAGGAGGAGGAGGAGGAAGGGGAGGAGGAGGAGGAGGAGGTGGTCCCGTAATCTGGCCTAGCAGCCCTTGACCTCCAGGAGTTGCCTCCGAATGCCCGCCCAACACCGTGCCGTTCTGCCGCCGCGTGTGCTGCCACCGGTGTCACCCCGACGTCAAGCCTTAAGTCGGGCCTGCCCCTTTACAGGAGGAGTTCAAAAATAGTAAGAGAATAGTCTGGAGACGATTTTTTTACTATGTTTGCCCGTTGGGGGTTACTTTTGGCGTATTTTCAATATTTCGCCTGAAATCCCTTTGTAGGGGGACACGCCCGACTTAAGCCAAGCCCCTGCCTCTACCCAGGGCATGGTCGTTACCGGCGCCATGGCTGGGTGGCGCGGAGAAGACCAGTTGCGTGCAGCCGATTCGCGGACCCGTCCTTTGCTGACGTCGAAGAAGGAAAAACGCCATGAACAGAATCGTTTGGCGCTCCGCGCGGATTTCTTGGACCTGCGCTGGGGCCCCCTGGCGGCGTCTCCGGCGCCGCCCCTGGCGCGCTCCGTGCGCCAGAGAGGGGGGTCCAGCGCAGATCCAAGAAATCCGCGCGGAGCGCCAAAAGTTCATGTTTATGGCGTTTCTTTCTTCCAAATCAGATTCCCCCCTTTTCGTCCGCCCCGCCATTGGGGACCACCACCTCCCCGCTCGCCACCTGCGGTAAGCCCGTGCTGTTGCACGCCTGTCCGCTCCCATGCCACGTTCCTGCCTCCGTCAGCCGTGGCGGAGCGGGCCACGCTCTCCGTACCACGGCCGCGGCGTGTTTCTTGTCGGTCTGTCTGTCGGTGGACGTGAATCTCCCATGTGGGTTCCCCAAACAAGCTGTGCGTCAAGCAGTGGCGAGGCGTCTTGGCCTGTCTATAGGCCCACCAAAGAATGTTCCCAGAACCTTGTGTGGTTTGCACGAACTGTTCTTAGAACATTTCTGGTTGGGACTGTCTTCGTTTAGTGCATCGACTTCTTTCTGTTCTAAGAACATTGTTTTGTTATTATGATATTCTTTGGTTCTAAGGAATTTCGTGGAGGCCTAATCATATGACTGCTGGGACGGTCTGTCCGCGCTCAACTGCGAGAAGGGATTGAGTACGTCTGTTCGGTCTCGGAGCTTGCTCACAGGATGCCTCGGCTTGAGGCCCCAGGCCCAGTGACCACGGAAGTCCGCAACAACAGCAGGCCACCATCGACCCCATGAACTACTCCTTCAGTTCTGGGGAACATTTTCGAAACAGATTCTGTCTCAGCGGTGGCCCTGGTATGCTGGCCCTTCAGCGTCCTTTCCTTCCCCCCGTTCCCCCCTCGCCCCCCCCCTCCTCCGTCGCTTGCCGGGGCTGGCCGAACCCATGGGTCCCGACGGTTTCGCTTTCCAGGCCTTTGATCGCCACGTCCCGCCTTGCAGGTTGGGACGACTGGAGAGAAACCGTTTTGTGAGTGGCCGTAGGCCCCCCAGTGTTTCGACGTCGCCCACGGGGTGCCGATCCCGCCGACTGCAGCGGCGTAACGAAATTTTGTGTGACATGTTACTCGGCGGCGGAAGGACCGAAACGATGCCCGCCCTCCCCTTTTCCCCCGATCAAGTCATAGAACGAGCACCACGGCGTCTCCCCGATCTCAGCCCGATGAATCAAATGGTCATTCTACGCGCGAAGTAGCTTTCCCGTAGTATCCTGGGATCTCCCCGCCCTCGGCATTAGATGATTTCCGTTCGTTGCTTTTCGGATGAAGTTTTCGTTGAGGAGGCGTAGTGCTACCTCAGGAGCTGGATTGACAGATGCGGTGCCACTTTCCAGGGCCCTCTTGCGGTCACAAAGGCGTCACCTCCCCTCAGTCTCCGGCTCAGGCTCATCTCTGAGACGCGAAACGTTCGCGCAGGGCCTCGTGCTGGGCGCCAAACTTTTCGGCTGATAAGGCCCTCGGAGGGAGGGGGAGGTTTCGCAGCGCTTGGAGCTTGACGAGAGCTTCCAGGTAGCGGCAGTGGGGGCCCGACTGGGTACCAGTTTCCAGGATTGGGGGGTATGGCTCTTGAGACGACATGGCTCGACGGATGTCGCGGCCATGCCTGGGGAGCATTCCTCAAGGGAGGAAAAGTCACCCAGACCCGACAATTGACGTTTACTAAACAGCCCTGCCCTGTTCGATTCCTTCCTTGGGTGCGTCTACTAAACGGCCTCGCTTGTCGGGGTGATTATTATGTGGGGGATTTCCTGCCCTCTCATTCCCAGCCCTCGAATGCTGAGAGAAGTGGGGTACGACATGCTGTAACAATTGCGCTTCTCGGCCCGGCCATCCCGCTCGTCCTCCAGCCCATTTGGCCGCAGTTGCGCGACTCCTCCAAACAGCTCGGGACTGTCATGATCTCGACGGAAACAAGGGATTGTAGACAGTGCAGTGCCCCAATGTTTGCGGGATGATGTGCTTAGTTGTTTGTCGCAAGCACTAGGCTTTCTCGGCCCTCAGGATATGCGGGCTTCCTCCCCTCTGAAGTGAGCAGAGTGGAAAAGGGGAGCACGGAATTCAAACTGCAGAAAAAAAGCAGGAGCCCCCCCAGCAAAATTTTGGGGTCTCGGGCCTTCCGTCTCTCCCCTCTCTCCTCGTTCTCTCCTCGTTTTGAGGTCGTGTTGTCGTCTCCTATCCCCCTCGTGGCTTGGGCGCCCTGCTAAGCCCGCGCGTCCCCCTCCCCAAGGGCATGCGGAAGGGCCAGCAGCTGCTCCCACCGAACTGACCCGATGGGACTCGCGATGTAAGGTAGCGAGCCTCTCTTTCGGGGCCACCTCGGAGCTCAGTCCTTGAGCTTCGGGGTATGCCACCTGCCGGCCCTAGTGAGAAAGCAGGGCTGTAGTACAACCAAGCGCAGGGGATTTTGGCAATAGCGAGGAGATCACCCGAGTAGGTGCTCCGACGTTACCCCCTCATGCGGATGTCCTTGTCCTTGTCCTCCCTTTCCTCCTCCTCCTCCTCCTCCTCCTCCTCCTCCTCCTCCTCCTCCTCCTCCTCCTCCTCCCCCGCCCACGGGAAGGGGCGTGCTCGCCTGGCTGGGCGAGTTCACCAAGCCGCCGGCCAGGTCCTCGACCGAAATTCCCTAGTCCCTTTCGGGGTGGGCCCCCTTGCGCGCAGGGCAAAGGCGCTCGCGTCCAGCAGCGCCAGACGCGCAGGCCGCCAGCTGGCCGCACATCGCAACGGGGGGGCGGTGACCTCGGGGGGCGGCCGGGTACAGGGTGAGGACCCTGGCCGAGGCCCGCCGCAGACGATGCGCAGGCGCACGCGCCAGACGCCCGTTGGACCAGCGGGCGTTAGCGCCGCCGCGCCAGGCCCCATGCAGCGCTGGCGCGGCCCGCTGCGGAGACGGCAGTGACATCAGGAGGTAGACGCCGGTGCCCACTGGGCGGAGCTCCTTGCGGTGGTGCGGTGCTGCCCCGTCGGAGGCCGCGGCCGCCCCAGCACGGGACTGACCTAGCAAGCGGCGTCGTCGAGTTCCACGAGGGGGCGGAGGGGGCCCGCCTCGCGTGGCGGGCGGAGGCCCTGACGCAGTGCGGCCCATCGTGTGCCTCAGCGGCATCGCCATCGTCATCTGGTACCGTTGCCGCCTCCTCTCCTCCCGTGAGCCTCTCGGCATAGGCCCGAGGTTTTTCATTGGTGCTTCACTGCTGGCAGAGACAGCTTCAGTGTTTTGTCATACGTGCCCAGGGTCCCCCCCCGCCCCGTGCTTGACAGTCTCCGCAGCCGGTGCCACAACGGCGCGGCGGCGGCGGAGGCCTTTTCCGTGGCCCAATGTGGCGCATCATGCGCCATGAAAACATCGCCGTCGTCATCTGATACCGCTTCCGCCTCCTCCCTCGAGCCTTTCGGCATGGGCCCGAGGTCTTTCATTAGTGCTTCACTGCTAGCAGAGATAGGCGCGTGCTTAACTAACCCCTGGACTTAGCGCATTAGGCTCGGGAGAGAGTGAGCAGCAGCAGGGACCTTTCTCAGTCGAAGCCCTATGAACCCCAGCAGTAAGTAAGAGTAGTTCGGAGGCAAAGCCACCAGGCTATGAGCCCCCCTTTTTAGCCCCGCCTGATCGTGCGGGACCTTTTTCACCTCACCCTTGTCCCCAACGTTGGTCTAATTTCTTTCGTCGTACCTGTTTGACCTCATCCCCTTCCTCACTCGATGCTTGCATCTTCAGGCTGATTCGGGCGACCCAGCCGGACCCCAACACTTGGCGAGGCCTTGTTGGGGCCCACGTGTATTGCTTCGTTTTTTTGTGCGGGCCTCGAATTGGCCTTTCGTTTTGTTTCTGTTGACATCCTGTTCCGCTTGCTATCTTCAGCAGCCCGGCGGCTTTGTCGGGGTTACCGTCTCTGGCGCCAGGGCCTCTGCAGGGCACCGAATGACGTTCGAGCCCCCGGGCGTGCGAAAACATCGTTGTCCAGCGCACGCGAGGAGTTGTGGGCAAACCTGGGGCTGGTGTGAATCATGTGGGCCGTTCTTGATTTCTGCTCCTGATGAGCCCGCCGCCGCCTCCCTCCCCCTCCTTCCCCCCTCCTCCCGCATCCTCCGCCCGAGGCCGCGCGAGCTCGAGAGGGCCTACGCCGGCGCCAGCGGCAGCGATGCTTTGGAGGACCGAAGAGGAGGAGAAAGAGGTCGAGGAGGAGGAGGAGGAGGAG